TCACTCATACACTGCATGGCACATCTAACACATTTAAAAAAGATAGTTTTATTTATTTGTTTTTAGTTTATATGTCCCTTCTTCTTCTTGTCTTGTTGAGTATAAGCAATTTGGCATTGCTTATTGTAATAAATAGAATGGAATAGAAATAAACAGGGTACCAGCTACCAAAAGAGCGGAGCACTGTGACCATGGTTGATTTTTTGTGCTACAACAGACCCTAAACGAACAGAAGACATTCCGCCTTTCCAATGAAAGCCAGAGGACCTACTAATGTCAGAAGGGAAGAGTAGTTCTCGACCCAGTGACTTCCTCCTCGCTCAAATCAAAGCTGGGCAGTTACAGAAAATGTGACTGAAAGTATCATATGCTTTTAAGCAGACCTCTCTCAGCTGAAAACCATTTATCAAACAGAGACCTGGTTGTAGACCAACTTAATTCACAATATGACTCCGGTTCACAGATTTAAATGGCAGATACTGACTTCGCAAGACAGTCCGCAGACTCATAATCATTGATTCCTGTGTGACCAGGTATCCAGCAAAGCATCACTTTGTTTTTGCTTGCCAGCTGCTGCAGCGTGTCATAGCAGTCTAATAGAAGCTTTGAGAAAAACTAGAAAAACTTTTAAGACGATAATGCTTTGATTGCTGCTGACTCTCTGAGTAAATATAGATACGGGCGCCTTTTAACCTATTGTTAATGTTTATAAATACATAGATCTTGATGGCGTGAATCTCTGCATGAAAGATAGTGGGCCATATACTCATATATTGTAACAAAATTAAATGTTGAAAAGTTTACAAGATACAACCCACTTCCACATATATCCGTTATTATTCTAACATACATATACAGTTAACGTGATATTCGTTTGATGTGAATACTTTTATTCTAAACATTATTTTAAAACATTGTACGAAATTTACTTTGCAGTATCATAAAACCCATCAAAGTTATATCAAAGCAATATAAGTTCACAATAACATCTTTGTGTTTGAGCAATACATACATAATACTATAGGGCAAACTAAATTCGTGAAGCTTTTAAAGACAAAAAAACAAGCGTTTGACAAAGTGCAGCATGGTGAGGTCTTATGCTCTCAAAAATACTTGCAAGCCATTAGAATCACATTCGAAACATATAAAAATGTCAAGAACTTTGTTGTCATTGACATAAATATAATAGCTGGAGACCCTCAGGGTAGCATTTTGGGATTACTGCTTGCAACCTATATGCATTGTTTGCCTAATTGTGCAGTTGTGACCACTAACCCTTGATTAGTCATTTCCACCTTTACTGATGAAATAGCTATATTTATTTATATATGTATGTGTCGAATCTTTTTATATATTAAATTATTATATTATATTGAAAGAGTAGACGTGAAGAGACCTATTGTACCAGTTTCACTATTGATTAAACAAAGCCCCTTAAAGCTTTGTGAATAAAATCTAGAACTAAATCTAGAGAAGAGTTCTTATTCTGTTCTGGTGACAGAAATTCTTTATGAAACAGGTTTCTTCTGTGCGTTATTAAAGTTGGGCAGTCACAAAGAATGTGCATGGTCGTTTCCTCATCTTCGAGGCATAATCTGCATTCCGAGTTAGCAGATAATTGTAGTTATTTTGTCTTTTTGTCTTCGCATGCTATATATTTGTTAATGAGGATCCTACATAATGCCGTTATACTTTTGCGATGGCAATATTAAATCCAACAATAAATCAATGCAACCACAAAGCGTAATTCCTAAAGTTTAGCCGTTTAAACTTAGAATCGCTGTTGCACTCATAACGCAGCGTAGCACTATTATCTGTTCAGGAAGTACCTATACTCATATATGGACAGTTATGTACATACAAATACTCACAAGTTTCTCAAGTATATATATAATATAATCAATTCTTTCAATAAGATGCGTGCCTTAAGATATTATTTTCGGTAAGATTTTACGTACACAATCAAAATTCTTGATGGCCAAAAGATTTACTTCATTTAGCCCTCGCAGGCATTGCAGTTTATTTTATTTGATGATGTCTTCTCACTATTAGTACAAAATCTGCAGTTTCATATAATTTTTTAATGTTGTTAATGTTATTTTTTTTTTGTTTATACATATTTTTTTATAATTGTAATATTGCCACTAAAGTTGCCTTATCAACGTTTAGTTGCGGCATCTTAACAACAAAAAACAAAAAAAAAAAAACAAATGAGGTGAATGTTGCTTTGTAACTACATTAGCCCCCGTATACATTTTACACGTACTGTTGACTATTTGACATTTGGGAATTTCTGAACCTTCAAAATATATTAAACAAAATCAACAGTATTGATAAAAAAAACAACAACAAATAAACATACTCGTTAAATTTAAAACTTACAACTGTTTTTTTTTATATTAATTTTTTATAATTTTTTTTTGTTTCCGTTTGTTTGATAATAGCTTCGGCTTTACTGAATTTGCCCTCTTAAAATGAATAGGTAATTCACTTATTTTGGAAATAAGTAAACGAATTACAACAAAAATAAAAAAAGAAATAATCTCCTAATGATGAAACATATGATTAACTATTGTTAATTAAGTGAGATACGGCACCTGTATTATACTAAGTATTTTACTATATACATATGTATATCTTACATATTTACCAGATAGCACTATGAACAGCTGCTACTTAAAAGAGAATAATATTAATATAATTTCTTTTTTAATTTAAGCCTATATTTAAGGCTTAAATATAATATTTATAGTGTTTCAATACTTATTATATACATAAGGTTAGGTTATACTGGCAGACCAAAAAGGCCACGCGCCGACCATTAAGGTCCATTGCGATACCAGATCAGAGTTTTAATTTTCAACGATAGTGTGCATCACTTAGGACGCGCGTGTTATTAGCGAATTTTATTAGATCTTCAACAGAAAACTCATTTATGTGCTCCAGTCTTGTAAAACTAACAGCCCCCAAGTATTTTTGTCGAGTTCTCGAGAGAGCCGGACAGTTACACAACAGATACGCTAGGATTTCCTATGCACCCGGTTCATTGCATTTCCTACAAGCATCGCTGCGAGTTAGGTTTAGTTTGTGTGCATGTGATGTGACCAGACAGTGACCTGTCAATACACCAATTAATGTTCTACAGTTCCTTCGAGTAGACGATATAACATCCTCGGTGTATATTTGTGTCTACACATGATCCAAGCTACAAGTGGTTAAGTTTCGCCACTTTTCCTCTCTTCTCCTTATCATGTGATCATCTAAAAGTTTATGTATTTGTTTCAGAGGTCTGAGTACTTCGGTCGTTTGTACACATTAACTACTTCGATAAATATTAAAACTATAGTCCAAGTCTATACAAAACTATAAAGCAAAGTTCCTCAACTTATTTTGTGGGATATTGATTACTGTCTAAAGATGAATGATTAGTTTTTTTTCTACTATTAATAACTTAATATTTTGCAAGCTCATTATGTACATCTAATACAAAATTTGGGACACAATAGCATTGAAAGAAACAGCAAAGATTATCAAATGGGCAAGATACCAATATACCGCTGTGCACAGGCATAAGCGATATTGAAATACCTCTGTTAATTATATAAATTTTATATATTCAATAAAATATATATATACTGTTTCTAACTATATATACCATAAACTATAAACTTCAATACTATGAACTTCAAAAAATTTACTGTAAATTGCTTTTATTCGAGGAATAATCATATTATATTCAAACTTTATATGTCTATACTAACACGGTACAAGCTTAATAGAAAGAAATCTAAGATATTCCTCTATCCCATGATAGTTGATATCTCTCAGATGGTAACATATTTTGTATAACTGATGCCTCGCTAATTAGCTAAGAGTACCCTTTTATGAGTACTCTTTTATATTTTAAAAGACAACAAAACACAGTCGAATACTACTACTAATAATGTCCAGACCTGACTAAAAGCAGTGCGAATTGCAAAGAGAGATTTTTATAAGCGATTTCAAATCGTTTAATAGGCAATAAAACAGTTGAGGTGTCGTGTTGGGAGTGATAACTTAGATCCCATACGATCTAAGTGAATTGATTAACTAAAACGACTGCCACAATAATAACTTGGCTGACAAGTGTACCATATATGATTAGGCAGTAACAAACGATATGTACTCATTAAAATACGATATGTACTCATTTCAATAAAGATGATTGAGACAAAAACAGAGGATTGAATTGTGAAACAGAATTCACAATCCTAATTTTTTCTAATTTTTCTAATTTTTTATCTCCTATTCTACAAATCAATCTTTCGCAAAAATGGGTGGGTTAATAAAGGGATGTCAATACATAATATTTTTATACTTTTAAGAAAGTGTTACTAACTGAATAACGTCGTTATTCGGGAAAACTCATCATGAAGAGGCTATGTCTGACTAACCATAGTTCTATAATTCATAGAGAATAACGTACCAATCGAACTTTAAAATGTCCCCTTAACAATCAAATTAAACCTCAACAATCGAATGGCTTTCATGAAATACGTTCGCTCAACATCAAATCCATCACGTTTGTTATGGGTCAAATGGATTAATCGTAAACAAAGAGCTTAACCCATTTGTTACCATTATTTTACCATTACGGTGAACACATCCATAATAAAATTAAAAGAGTATGAAACGATGAGAATGAATTTTAAAAGCAAGTTAAGTTTACTACAATAACGAAGATATAGGTTTTAAATCTGGAAGATTGATCTGTCCAGTTTGTTGATAATTTTGTTATAACTCTTTTCGGAATACATACGTGTTTATGTTATAAGAATAAAATATATATTTTTTATTCGTCTATACATATGTAAAATTTTAATTTAAAATTTATTTTCTTTGAATTTTAACATTTTATTATATTTATTTGTATATATATATATATATATCAAGTAAAGAGTTATTCTATTACTATTGTTAAAGACTTATTGTTTTATTTTTTCTATTTTCAGTTTCAAAAAATATTAATTGCAATAATGAGAAGACAAATTAGCGTAACACATTATTTACACACCTCACTGTTGTACTGTAAATAATCAACTCGGCAGTAATTATATCGACATTCAAATAAAGTTATCACTATAAAATTATTTTTCCTTAAAATTCCACGATTGTTTCAAAGATTTGAAGAAACAACCACAACAAAAATTTAAAGAACGAAATATTTGAAAAAAGTATGTTTGGACTCTTTTCTACACAAATTTATGGACTTCATCAAGCATCTGAACATACCAAAACCAATCATACCAACCAATATCACCATCATAACGACCCCAACAATCCAAAGAGCAATAACAAGCCACATCGTTCCTCCTCTAACGCTTCCGATACTTGCAAGGAACGTAACTTTTTTGCGAATTTCGGTACCAAATCGCCCACAACTTTCATAGAGAAATTCCTCAAAACCGAACTATTAAATGGATATGATACATTAAAGAATTATAAAAACTCTCAGCATTTACCCAACAACAATAATAACACCATAAACAACAATAAAACATCAACGAACCATACAACAAACTCAAATTCTCATAGTGAGGATTTATTCATGAGTTTTAATTGCTTACAGGGCAGCTATCGCAGCAATTGTGACGGTGAATTCTATGAAGCAGTCAATGTGGTCAACACAAATCCTAACCCCACATCAAATTCTCATACGAAATCAAATGAACATTCATATCTGAATTCGAATTTAAATCGGCAATTCATCATCGAAACAAAACCGACTAAAGCATCATTCTTGAAATTAACAACTGCGCCAGTAACAACGAAACCAGTCAAGGAGATGACGATTAAATGTTCCAAAAATTTACTTACTGAACCACTGAATACAAATCAAGCTCCTGCCACTCTACAAAATTATCAAAAACTCCCCGAAGAATATGAATATGGCACAGATGTGTTGATGCATGGCTCCAGTGGAGCAAGTTCGGGTGAATTTAATAGTGATAATGCCAACAACATTGCAAAAGAAAACAACAACAACAGCGGCAGTGGCAGTGGCAGTGGCAGTGGAAATGGTATTACCAATACTGCATCGAATCTATATAAGAGACTATCTTTTGGTGGACGAAATACAATAAAGAATTTCAATGTGACACCAACACAACTCAATGAAAGTGTGAGTAATTCATTATAAATCTGTATCTATAATTTAAATATAATTTATAGACTTTTAATTATTTTTTATTTATTTGTAAGTCAACATTTAAATTAATTTTAAAGTTAACTAAAAATAAGGGACTGGACTACTGGGTTCTTCATCCTTTATAATTATTTTATTTTTATTAGTTACTTAGTAAAACTAATAACTATGAAACACTTCTATTGTGATACTGAAGCAATATATAAGTTGTTATAGATCAGGATTGTCCAAACCCGATAAGATCGCGGGCCAATACAAATCACTATATAGATTGGATGTTCGCAAAAAGAAATACATACGTTCATAGTTGTTTTCAACAAAAAAAAAATACAGTTATAATCTTAAATTTAATTTTATTAATTAACTAGTAGATGACCCGGCGAACTCTGTTCCGCCTTAAAGGCAATAAATAAGCAGTTTTTTTTTAATTGGAAAAAATACAAAAAAAAAAAATACCTACATTAATCATTCATAATTTATTTGTGTATTTTAGTACACATCGCAAATTATCTATTTGTTGACCTCTGTTGTTCGCTCGACCTTCAGTCCTTAAATTTGCAGTATTTCGTATTCTTCTTGCATTACGGCTTTGTCGGGAAAGATTCGATCGTCTTGGTCGCGGCATTATTAAAAAACTAAAAACTCAAATTTTCAACCATACCATACATTATAATTGTTAATTATTTATTTTGTTGAGTTTGCAACAACCAGGTAGTTTTATTGATTAAAAACGATATTTATTGCAACACAAACTTATATTGATCTAATACAACTTTTAAAAACACATTAACTAAGTTATATTTCTATCTGTTAAATTTTAATAAAATATTTTAATAAAGTATTAGTATTGCTGTTAAGCTAGACTTACTTTGTATAGGGACAAAGAAGCTTTATTAAATTTTAGAGGAATTTTTAGAATAACATAGCATAGCTTCTTTGTAAAAGCACCAGAATGGTCGCTTTACATATAGTAAGTAAAAAATATGCATTACAAAATGTCTCTACAAAAAGAGTAGCTTTGAAAAGAAATAAAGAATTAGCAAACCCAAAAAGTTAAACTTTCAATTCGTTGAACTTGTGTTTCCAAAATAAAGCTGTAGTTTTTAAGCTCGTTCTAATTTAAAGCACGGCAAGTGCTTTGGTTGTTGTCACTAATTAAATAAAAATAAGTGACAATAAAACCTGGAACTTGAGCATTGAAAGTTTGTGCAGCCTTGACTTCTTGTGGATAACACGATTAGTCATCGCTTCTAATTTGACAGGCACGAGTTCTAAGCCTGGCATTTGCAGTCCAAACAAATTATATACGGACTATAAACTAATTAAATAAAATTCGATTATTTCCAAAGACCACTGATGAAGAGTACTTGGCAATACTCGAAACAGCGTTGTATGGTCAGCCGAACTTCAATAAAATTAAAAATAAATTTTTGTGTTTGTACTTTATTTCTTTCTTTGCTATTCGAAAATTCCAATAAAATATTTTCTTATATCAAAAATTTGATAATTTCAAAACCTACTTTGTCGTGAACGGGATAAACAGGTATCCTATGTCCTTCTCCTGGCCTTAAACTACCTCCCTGCCAATTTTCAGCTAAATCGGTTCAGCCTATATCCTTCTCCTGGCCTTAAACTACCTCCCTGCCAATTTTCAGCTAAATCGGTTCAGCCGTTCTTGAGTTATAAGTGGTGTAACAAAAACACATCTTTCTTTTATATATATAGAAGATTAATTTAAATTCATTTACTTGGTATACTATAATAATAAAATAATGTAGTTTTACCAGTACACCAAAAGAAAATTTGCATAATTGTAGTAGATTAAAATAATGTTGCGGGCCGCACAAACATTAGCCGCGGGCTGTGCTTTGGACAGCCCTGTTAAAGATGATATACATTTTGAAATGATGTAAAAATCATACGAATGGAAAACTAAACATTAACAGGGTTGACAGGAATTAAAAAAGATTTTCTGATGTGGACCTAAATATAATTAATTATAATTTATTAATTAATATAATTAATTATTAATATAATTAATTATTTAGAGAAAACTCTAAATTATCTTTTGTTAAAGAGATCTGTTAAGTAACTATAAGGGTTAAAAACTTTATCTACAGTATTTTTCTCTTAACCCATAGACAAAAAAAAAGTTACTGATACTAAGCAAAAATCCTAGATCTACGGTTTTATTGTTGTTCAAAGTATTCTTCATTATAATCAACACATTTTTGCATTTGATTGAATCAATTTTCTAGTCTTAAGTTTTACCACTCAGAAGTTGGTATGTCCAAACCCAAGATTTTGAATATTTCAACGGCTAGTTCGGGCATAAAAAAACGTTTGGAAACAAAAAAAAAAGTCATTGAGTGTCAAGTCAAAACTGTAAAGCGGATAGCCCATCAATTCAACGTTTTAGTGCTCAAAAACTCATTGATCCAAAACAATCCCATACTAATTTTCGATAGTAACAGTAAAGATTTATTTTCAATTTAAAAAAATTTTCATACGATGCAAACAATGTTGTTGAGATGAGCACAGGAGCTATTATCGTAGAATTCAAATTAATCCATATCGTGTTTGACGGCTTCCAAGCTGCCAAACCTTGGAAACCTAAACTGCAATCTATATATAGCATTCAAAAAGCGTTTCACGGTATTATTTACTATCATTGATGTAATGCTCTCTCGATCACTCAGAGTGTGTCAATTTGCTAATAGTCCTGTCCTTAACCATGAGAGTTGTTGCCGCCTAATACCTCTGCGACTTTATAAATGGCTATGAAGTATAAGTTGCAATACTTTGTATTTTTTCACGTATTGTGCGACCCAAGTATGACTCCAGGGTATTTTCAATAGACGGCGATAGCACGACATTACGAAAGCCACCAATTTATTTATTGCGGTTGTTTTATAAGTCCAAGTTTCTACACCTTAGAATAAGACTAACCATACGTAGCATTTTATATATTTTATTCTAAGCAGTAGACTAAATTCTGGATTGTTCATTATTTTTTTTTTTTTGTACTGCATAAAACCATTTCTAGCTATTAATTCTTAGGGAATATCAAATAATCCATATTTGAAGACAAGAAAATTGTAAAAACATGTCTATAATTATTTTAACTGATCCTCCACTCCTTAAGTTTTATCGATATTTCATTACTATATTTTTTTTTATTATTTTTTATAAATACATTTGTTATCTTTAGTTTAAAAAAATAAACAATATTTTTTAATTCTAAATATTAATGAAATTATTAATGAATCTCAAATTCGTAGTAAATGTTTTCCTCTTCCTATGTTTGAATATTTTTAAAAATATTTTTGAAAACTAAATTAAATACAATAAAAATCAAAAAAAGTCATTTCAAATTGTTTAAAATATAAAAAAAATCTGTAAATAATAGAGAAGAATAATTAGTAAAATAAAATTAATATTTGCTTGCAAATTAATATAAATTATCACCGTCAGCCGCGAATTACGCGCTTTAGGAAAAAAATTATAAAAGACTAAAATTAACATATTTTATTTTATTATGTTAAAATAACAAAAAAATAAATAAAAATAAAAACAGAAATTGTATAACAGAAATGTTAAATGAAATTAATTATTATTAAGTCAATAATTCGAAGCCGTTCACAAGATTTTTAAAGTCTTAATCAGCATAATTTAATACTTGAGCCGAATGCTTTTGTTATTATGATTGATATTTTGCAATTATTTTCATTTACTATAAAAATTCAGTTTAATTGTGATTAATTTTATCTAATTTATTTTAATTTTTAATTTTTGCATTATTTTTTAATTAACTGACAACTGAATAATGACGAATATTTTATAGGTTTTAATTGATATTTAAGTATGACTACTTAATGTTAATTATTTTAAATTTCCTAACTAATAGCAAATTTTGGCATTTCTAAAGATAAATAATATTTTTAACAAATAATTTTTTACAACTTTATATGCCAAATATTTATTGGCTTCTCAACTCTATCGGTGTAGAACTTCTTCGGATTAATCAATGCACTTGGCTGAAGGGTTAATCCATTCCCATTCCCTTCCAATCTCACCAAACACTACACATAACCTTGTTTGACCTCAATTCAGGCTTTGAAGTCATTTGTAGAGGGACACCAACTGTTGACCATGATGGCTTGCATTAGATATTACTGTATTTATTCCAATTTTCATAATCCGTAATAATTCGCTTCAAAAATGGTTGGATCTCATTGCGTTTCAACTGTTTTTTACTGATGGTAATACAGTCAACCAGATTTCCTTTAATTTTTGTACTACTCAAATAGTAAGCATCTTCGCGTGGCCTGCTTTTAGTAATTCCACATACCTTGATAGTTAGAATGCCAGTCTTACTTCAGTAGTTGCAAAATTTCATATATATTTTTAGTGACTGACCGACAAGAATGAAAAACACCGAAATTTTCGGAACTGTATCAGGCAAATCACTCCTAGATGCAGCGCACAAAAAACAACAATGTAGGCGTAGAGATCAGGCAAAGAATCACCATTGTCAATAGGTGTTGCTATGAGCTTAGTAGGCAATTGGGATATAGAGCTCTCAACAAATCAAATTTACGCAGAAGCATACACATTATTACAGGAAATGTTCGAGAGAAAATTTTTTCCGGTAGAGTGATCACATTGAAGAAGCTCTAACCGAATTTTATGTACAAGACTGCATATCAGATATGCCTGGGGAGATATGCTGCGCCAGATCGAAACCCGGTAACGGGTTATTATGGCAAAATAAGTAAGTATATAAGAAAACAGACGTACAGATCTTGCATTAAATTATTACAAAAACAAATAAATGCTAAACCAAGAGATCTGTACTGGATTCCAAGTCAGAAGCTTATGCACTTCTTTGATAATCTATAGCAATGCAGTATGGATATGAGGAAATGATTCAAACAATAAAGTAACGATACGTTTTGCAGTCACAAATAACCATGCCTAAATTTCAATCATTAACAGTCGGCTATTTGTAAACGATGTTGTTCAAAGGTTTTGCTGCGTTTGCCGCGTGATAACTGGGAAGAAGCGGGAGAAAATCCAATATATTTAATTCTTCCATCTTAATAAAGGAATATTTATTACGACGCAGTGCTAGACTGAACACTCCGACACACCTCTGTCATCCATCCTACTTCAGCTTATCTATGACCTGCCCATGACATTCTAAATAACATGAGTCTCAGTCTTGTAAGTATAGACGCCGAGAGTAGTATTGTACTCACCATTGAAATACGTATAAACTAGTGTTCGTACATTACAACGTTTGAACAATTCTAGTATATTGAAATTCAAACTTTCGAATATAATTCTTCTAATGTTCGATCGATGAGTGTTTGAACCACTTAAACAGCAAATCTGCTTTATATTTTACTTCATTATTCTTTTACTTCATACAAACACACTTAACAGGTTATAATCGAACAACACATGGTAATCAAACATATTCGAAAGCATCGCTAAGTTTGAACATTGTGTCCGAACATTAAAACTCACTCGAAACTTAGAACAGCTCGCACAATATATAAAGCAGTAATGTGAACCTTACGAGGTAATGTTTCATCTCTTATTATCTTGATGAATGGGACTCAGATCCCTCCATCATTCCATTATATAACCGTGGCTCTCGTGACCCTCGTCACAGAGTTCACCTTTAGCTAACTCTGCCATAGCCGCACCCCCTTCAATACTTCCAATTTTCCTCATTTTAGGCTCAAGATCTCTGACTTAGATGAACCTAGTTCGCTAGGTATTAGGTCTCTTCACTCTCTTCTCTCTCCTTTGTCTACTGGAATGAAGTTTTCTCATTGCCGTGGAAATCTTCTCCTTTCATTCCTTAGAGGTGGTTTAGTGGGTTAAAGTCCCACACGGTGGCTTTTGATGTTTCCACCTACTGCAAAAAAAAAAAAAATTACGAGGTAATGCTTTCACACCAGCGTCCACAGCAACATCATTAGTGAATATTATACACAACATGCTAGCATTACAACAACTCTACATTACAACAACATATTATATGTTTGTTGTGTCGAAACGTTATTAACCATAATTTTTCTTTCAGAGTTATAAAAAAACAGCTTTAAGTCTGATTAAAACAAATTGGCATCACTTTTAAGATATGTTTAATGCTTTTTTTTGACATATGTTTTTTGTGTTGTGTGCAAAATGAAATATAAAAATTTTGAACTAAAACTTAAGACGTAGGTAAGGTTTTTTGCGAGTAAAACCTAACTCTGAAGATTTTAAGAGCATTGTTGTTGCTTCACATGTTTTCTTTCATAAGTTGCGAGTATTTTTTTGCTACTCTGTAAGAAAAAATTACGGCTATTGTTACTTATTGGAATTAACACTGATTTTGCGAGCAAAATAAAACGAAAAAAATATATTATAATAAATTTTGCTGAAGACATATATATATATATACTTAAACAGTTTCAATGTCGAAACAAATGTTATATAGAAAAAAAATGAATGATAGTACGCCTCTGTCTACGTTTGTGGCCAACAATAAATTAGCCTATAACCAAAAATACAACAAAAATAAGAATATTAAACAATTTCTATGTTAAAATATTGATTCATTACTGTTTATAGTGCTCCATCGATGTCTTCGTTCGATACGAAATCAAATGATAAGAATGATAAGGGAACACTTTCAGTAATTATTGTGAAAAATTCATATTCTAATCGATAACAAATTAATTTCGCATTCAAGTGTAAATTTGCTAAGCGTTGAACTTGAGAACTTCGCCGCGGCGCGGGTATAAAACAAATATATTAATTTTTAATTTATAAATTTCGTTTAAAATATTAAAATTTCCTACAAATTAATATCTTATTTAATGCCAATACTTAAAGTAATTTAAACAATAATGCAGTGCTGAATGAAAGTAGTGCCAAATTTATTTCTAATTTAATTAACATAGAAACAAATAGCAAATATGCGACTAAAGAAGTCTTACGACTTAAATAAGGTAAATTGGTATATGAAATAATATTGTTCTGAAAGTTTTAAAATTTGGTTCAAAGTGATAGTTTATAATACTCTATGACATTCGAATTTTTCAAAAAATGAAAAAATAAATTGGTTTAATAGATAATAGTGAGTGCATTATCTATATAGTATTATATAGTTTATAATACTCTATGACATTCGAATTTTTCAAAAAATGAAAAAATAAATTAATTTAATAGATAATAGTGAGTGCATTATCTATCGTTTTTAAGTAGCGCTTCAAAGTGTTCGAACATTACGAGCATCGAATATACCTAAATTCGAACATATCGACCAAACGTTTTGAAGGTTCGAAAATGTTTTACGCTGCGCGAAAATGTTCGATCTGTTTGAATAGCAAACTTACTATATATTTTATTGGATTTTCGTTTTGTTTGTAAATATACCAAATACACCAAACAATACCAAATACTCAAATTTCATATGGTGTTCGAACATTTTCAAACTACTTGCTCTGTCCAAATGTTCCATCATAAGCATAGTTGAACTTCTAAACAGCTTAAAGGCTCAGTTAGGTTATACTGGCGATCCCAGGGGGGTCCACTCAGGCCCATAGGCCCATTGTGCTTAAAGGCTCAGTTAGTCGGTACTTATATCAAATCGAAATGCACAACCAACCACACCTGTGTATCTTATAGAAACGAATTAAACAAAATCGGTGTGCTTTATTTATTTCGTTCCTATCAAATACAGAGGTATAACTGGTTGCGTATTTCGTTTTAGCTTAGTTTCGATTAAATTCTTACGGTACATACCAACTAATTGGGCCTTAAATTAAACAAAACTTAAATAAAAATTTTGAATATCTTAAAAAATATTTAAAAAACTATTTTTTCACAGAAAATATATATATCCTGCTACTGAATTAAATAAACTTTGGGAACATTTTTTCTTACACTTTCTCTTTTTTAACAACATATAAATTTTCATATATATATACAAAATTTGGATATAATACGTCTTTATATTTGAACATAAAAAATGTGCCGAAGTCTAACCAGTGTAGACGCTCAATTAGAGATAACTGTAACTCTTAGTTATCAACACTTCTGCTCACCTCTGATTGAACGGGGATCGACAACAATCCTCGTTTTTATTTTGGATACATCTTCACACTTACTAAATTTTATTATACACCTGCTTAAACCATTTGCTTAGGTACACTTTATAGAGAAAACAACATATATTCCTCTCCAATGACATCCATAAATGTAGCATACCTTCCGAATTGTATATCCTTATCACTATATTCCTATGTCGAAATGTCTATAATTATGGATTGTGCGTCATTAAAACCATTTGATATTCAATAAGTGATTGTGTATGTAAAAAAATATAAGCGTTAGTAACTAAAAATGTTAGAATATCTAGAATGTATAAGAGATATCGACTATACAGTTTTTAGGATTTTTATCTTTAAGTGATAAACATTTTTTAGTAAACATATGATAAATATTTGCAAATGAAACGAAAAAAATTAATATTATTTATTAACTAAAATAATCATAATTAAATAATATTATTTATATTAAGTGTTGAATTCATCAAGAAAAAGTACAGATTCCTGTTAATGCCATAGACTCGTATATTTATATACATATATATTGTGTATGTATATAATTAAAATATCAATAAATATTTGTCATGTACTATAAATTATAGAATGCATGAAGTTGTGCACCCAAATGTTGGTTGAGCTAGTATTTCTAATTAATAGTCTAATATTAAGTAGAGAGATTTTGAACAGTAGTGAATTGTAACAACAAAATTTTTAATTATTTTTAATTAAATGAATTTCTGGCTGACTATACAGCTGTTTCGAGTATTGCCAAATGCCTATTATCAGTGTTCTTTGCTTTTATTTCTTATATTTAATTACTCATAAATAATTTCTGGGCACTACAAGTACCAAGTATAATTAACATTAAATGTAATGATAGCTATTTTGGTCTATTGAGTATAAATGTACATCTTTTCCCTAGTATGTGCTTTGGTGGATCAGCTATTTTATCACCAAATATGCATATGGTACTTAACGCAGTACTTATGCCAATTATATGTTCCTTGAGCGTTATAATAATGTTCTTTATCTGTGTTTAGATCACCTAATGTCACCAGAAAATAAAATAAATTGTCTTAAACTTAAACTTAAATTGTTTTACAACTTTCAAAACGTTCCTATCACTTTTGTCTCTCTTTTTCCGTTAGAATACTCTTTGCCCCCACCGCAATAAAATTCAGACCTTATCATTATCATGGAGGCTGATTTTCAGACAATTTCATCGGTTTGCTCTTTTTATTAGATCCCTACATGTCTAAGAATCCAGCCAAGGCTGACTGTTTTGTTCTTCACCTTTCTGTAAATTGTGTGTTGTAACCTTTCTGTAAATTAAACTGTGCAAAGTTCCTGATAGCGTAAATTCCTGGTGAGAAAATGTTTCAATATTTTTCAATGGGTTTTAATCCACAGCCGAAACACACACGCCCCAATATCTTTTTCGGTATTTAAACGGATCTTATATTGATATTTTCTATACAAAATAAAATTGAAATAACTGTAAAAAATAACCTGTATAATATATGGTATATATAATTTACAACTTTTTTTTTCTATTGTATTAATCAACTTCTATCCAATTTTAGGCATCGGATAATTCCACATCATCCGTTTCGACGACAACAAATTCCTCAGCAACAAAATCTAAAGTGAATTTGTTATCAATAAAATCAAATGAATTAGAACGCACCTCGTCAGCATCTTCGTCATCAGCAGGCGATGCTATAATAGCCCCACGAGAACGTAAAAAGCTTTTAGCCACTGACACGGCAGATAAAATGCTAACTCCACCAAATAGCAGTTCCGTTATTGCCACAGTAACGCCAGAGCGTCTGCAACGTCGCCGACTATTACAAATGATCTCGAATTACGATCAGCAAGTAAAATTCTTGCAACGAGAATTGGCCAAAGAGAAGCGGCGCCGAACCGAAGAGCTGGCGTGTGTTGTGAAGTCGCTTATTTGTTTCGAATCGAAATTGAAAACCGATATGAAATCAGTTAATCAAAGGTTGCAAGAAAAGGACACGGAAATTTGTCGCTTGGTGCGTCAAAATCGTGCTTTGCGTAAGAAACTTCTGGCGCAAGCACAAAATGCAGAACGCGACGAAGGTGTTGTGGAGGATGAAGCGGTGGAATACGATAATGAGAACTGCAATACACAAGTGGATATAATCAAAGATGGGGATACTGATGCGGTGGACTGTTTGGTGCTCGAAGCTTTGCAATGCATCAATTGCAGACAGCAATTCTATGACATTGATTTGAAAGAGGGCTGGACTCAGACAACTAATGTAACGGCAAATTCAAATATGAAAGATAGTAGTAGAAGTAATAGTACGTAGCACTGAAAATATCTGTAAACATACAATTTAATATAAATTTTGTTTATTTTTAGTTGGCCTGACCACTGAGCATGGAGGTTCTTCGAGTGATGATACAGTTTCGTCATCGTTTTACGGAGCCCGTCGTAGTGTACGTTACACCAGCAAACGCACATCTGGCACATTTCGTGATTATATGCGCTCACGTTCGATGAATATTGATATCGACGATAATGCTGCACTTGATAACAACTCTGAAGAAAACACAAGTACGATTAGTCGCGATGATTCGCAAACCAGTTATGAGAAAATGAATGTATACTCACGTACCATTGAGCGTATGCATGGCGTTAAATGCGATGAAAGTGAACCTGGCGAATCTGAGCAAAGTGGTATGGAGAATAGTTTTGCAAGAACTATTTCCCATATGAGCTATCATGGCAGCAATAGTGGACGTAGTAGTAGTGCCAGTAAGACTAGTGACAAATCACTTAAAATTACTAAAAATACGAGTCAAGAGAAAGATTGTGATATTGACGATGATGATGGCATCTTTTCACCAACCCAGGACGATGACTTTGAGGAAGACTTATTAACAAATAATCGAAAAGTAATGATTGTGCAACGTCGTAGCACAGAATTTTCAGAAGCATCACCAAAGCAAGTTTATGAAACATCTACGGATGATTGGTATGCAAGTGCGTCGGATCAAGAAGAAATTGGTACTACCACATCCAAACCATATGGACACGGTGCTGTTAATCCCGTTTTAGAATGTGTAAATCAGATTTTGTTGCAGCAATCAATGGAAGACACTGCTCTACATTCGAACATACCGAAAAAGTCAACTGGCTGTGGAACGAACATTTTATCATCGCATGCAACTCAACTAATAACACCAAAGTCATCCCCACAACATTTGCAGTTAAACACAGACAGCTTACCGAGACGTAGTTCATTAAGTGGGCGTCGCAGTTCACGTAGCAATAGCCATTCCAGTGACGGCCTAAACTCTCGCAATGGTACCTTGACACGTAAACGAGTACATTTCTCCACACAAAATAGTATGGTGCATGTACCTCGTAACGATGAGGAAGACGAGCATAGCAGCGAACATAATGATGACAGTTTAGAACATTTAGTACAACTAAGACACGCAGAAATGATGTCAAACATTCAACTTCAACAGCAACAGCAACCGCATTACCATCCCATGAACTATTTTGCCACCTCAAGTGCAACAACCGTTGCAAGTGTAAGTTTGCAAGCAGTTTGTGAACAGGAAGCCAGAATTGATAACTTGAATTATGAGAGCATTTATGGCAATGAATATGAACCTATAGGCTCCGATCACAACTCCTCAAATTTGTATGTTGATATGGAGTCTGAAGTGAAAATGGGTAATAGCTGCCCAGCAAATCAAAAGACAACAAAAATGCCGCCAGCTTTGCCACCAAAACCAGCCAATTTAATTAAATTCAAGAAATCACTACAACAGCTAGATGAGGTTCCGGACGAGCACTTACAGGAAAATTGTGCTATTTCAACTGTAAGCAGTGCTTCTGAACCCGATTACTGTTCAATATCTGAACTGGGCACAACAAATGTACATATCGTAGCTGTGGATGTACATAAAGCACCAGAATCAATAGATAACGAATCACAACAATCCCCTGAACGCGACCTAGAGTTGGATGTTTCCACCGTTACTACTGAAGACGATGTACTTGAGAACGATGACGAAACATGTACTGCATCGCAAAAGACTGATGAAATTGAAGAAATTTTTGCTGATATACCAAAGTTACCAAACGTAGCCGCCATAATTGCGCCAAAGCAAACCAAATTCTCGCAACAGCAACAACAACAACACCAACAGCAACAGCAACATGCTGATTACTTAGTAATGTCACCCAAAGTTGATCCCAACAAAAGTAAGCTCTCACTTAATCATAGAAATTTGAATGGGGCCAATGAATTTCTCTGCTCAACACAACAACCCAAATCTCCAAAAATTGACACCACACCACTTAAGCTACAATTGACTGCCACGAATTTGCCTTCACAGCAGCAGTTCAAACGTAAACATGTGCCTAATATTTTAATAGAAATTAATAAGCGTATGCTAAGCATGCCGAACTCCCCAACCACTCCAAATAAAACAGCATTGACACCTCCTGTACTAACTCCAAATGGGAATAGCAACAACAAAATACCAAAATCTCAGCCACTTACACCAAATGCACTGCTCCAAAAATTCGAAACCAACAACTCTAATTTGCCATTGCAAGCTGAATTTGATTGGTACAATCTGGACGCAGAGTATGGTAAGGCCCGCGCTATGAGTCAGTCGGAACTGCTAAAGGTTAATGAAAATTTGGGCTCTATGAATATGTTGGCTGAAATAGCCGAGGACCATGAAAGTGTTATAACAACAGCAGATGAATACAATCTGGATGAAGAATTCTCCCTGTGTTCCGACAAACAAGAAGATGCACTTACTGAACATTCGGAGTGCATGGACACAGTATTACCGAGTGTACCACAAGTGTCGGAGAGTGTAGAAAATAAAAAAAACGTAGCAAAAACAACAAACGTGTTTGATTCGGAAAAAATTTTGGAATGTGCGGAGGAGCAATTGGCAATTCTTGATGAAAACTCGTCCAATGCAATGTTAAGGAGTGAAACTGCAACTTCCGGTGTGAACACAAAATCGAAAAATATCAAAAAGAATTTAGCAAATTTTGAGAAATTTATTGAAGGTTCCGGTTTAAGCACGAAACCCTTGCCAAGCAAACGGAAGGTCTACTTCGCTGGACCTTTCGTGTGATAGTAGAAAGGCATCGCAGAGCAAAGATCCAGCAATAGCAGTTTGGTTTTATAGTGGAGCACTATATACATGTCCATATACACGAGTTGAGAAAACTGCCATTGCATATGGCACTCTAAATAGATGTGAAAAATGCTGATTAACTGACTGTTTTCGTCAACATAGAAACAAATTTTTATTCGTCCGACAGGGATGAGCAATTCTTTCAAATTATAAAAGATTTGAACAACGAAGTAGTATGTGAAGTTTGAATAGGATCTGATCAATCCGAAGACACTTACCAAGCAAACTATCTATTTTGCCGACAACTTTGCCGTCAACTTCGCCAGTGGCTTTAACGATAACAAAACATTTAACAAATTTAGAGACTTAAAATTATACAGCGAATTTTTTTTAGTTAAAATTATCTTTAAGTTTACATATGAATTCTATTTCATACTATATATCATATATATATCAGTTGCAATTTTTTTTATTGAACTTGTAATTATTTTATTAAATTTTTTGTAATTATTATATATCTGAATTATTGCTTCTATTATGATTGAAAAAAAACTATATTATTACTTTTTTATTAAGCGCCTTAGAGATTTTTTTCTGATTGTAGTTATTTATATTATTTTTATTTTTATTTTTATTTTATTATTGTATAGAATTTATATTATTGGATTAATTATTGTTAAATATTGTTACTATTGTCTTCAAATACTTTCATTTGATCCTCAATCAATGACGTACGTCTAACGCCTTTCTATATAGGATAACAAATTATAACGTGGTAATCTCAAAACTAATACTACATTGGTACTGCATCCAGCACAGTCTGGAGATGTCGTCATTGAAAATCTACTATATTTTTATCTCAAAATAATTAATTGCTTAGACATCAACTGTTTATGTTGAAAAATTGCTTTATCTTTTATATGCTTATATTGCTTATGTGTATATATGGTTATATAACTTTCCTATAATTTTTTTTTTATATTCCATATGAATTTATTTTTATTACATATTTTTTTATATTTTAAATTATAAAGACACTTTGTCCAGTTGATTTCTCATGTTTGGAAGCAACGAAGTAATTTTTCATTTTTGCTCCTTTCCAACATCTTAAGACAAAGAATTATTTAATTTGTAAAATTTAGTAAAATTTAGTAAACAAAACGCATTAATAATTGTTATTGATTCAAATGAATTATTATTCAAATTTAATATAATTGTACTTAAAAATTGAAAATAAAATTATAATAAATAAGTTTATAAAAATATATGTTTTTATTTAATATTAAATATTAGCAACACAGTTGAATCATATTAAATTATGGTTAAACGATTTTGAGAAAAACAATTTTAAACCGAATTTGAGGTCCAAGACATAATAAGTAAAAAAAGCATTTAAGAACTGATATATATACGAGTAACATAAAACACCGTTCTTGTTCTACGATTGGAAACAAACTCAATTCATTTAAACATTATTCACAGAATAATGTTTTTAAGTCTACTTTAATTCTACACTAAACAGTGAGAGAATGGGAGAGATTATATACATACACATATTAAGAACTAAGACTTCCACGCTTCACACAGATGTTCTTACCGATAGCATTATAATTTGTAGAACACGCCTTCCCCGCAGCATGATGGGATCAACACCTATTACCTTGCAACTAAGCTCTTAATCGAGGATATTTATACATTACAACCAATTTATCAATAGGCCTACGCTTAAAGTCTCAATGAATGAATAGCGTCTTCTTTGTACAACAATAACTATCCTTATATATACACCTACTTTTGCTCTACTTCTAATGACGACAGCCAACTATTTTTATTTCTCAACTTACATAGTTATGAAACTCCGTTCTATCAAAGTGGCAGCATTTATTTACTTTGATCCAAGTTAGTGATAATTATCTCCTCATTGACTTTCTTCCTTCCTCTTATTTTATATGACACCCCTCCTCTGTATTTTTCTCTCTCGCATTATTAACCATACCCTTTCTTGTGAATTATATATTCGTCTTTTGATCGAGTGTTGTTGATGCCCTATTCATTTTGTCTAGCGATCCAGAATTATTCAACGCTTTCTTATCTATCCTGAAACAAGATATAGATTTTACAATATGTGCAGCTATTTACGAACACCAAACTATCTTTGAATTAAGTGGAAACTAACAAATAAATATTTTTCAATTGTTGTAAAATAAATAAATTTTAAAATGTGAATCTTGGGTCTAACAAACTAAATAGTTGGAGAAAATTTTATCTTTCCTATTATTTTACTGCAATCTGAATAACAAGAAAATTCTCCTTAACCACAATACAAAATCAATTTCGTTAATTTGAGTTCCGGACACTTGAGTATACAAAGCTATGAAGTTAAGAATGAACTAACCAGAAAAAGATCGGAGGTATCTTCAGCAGATTAACAAATACTGATGTTGTTTAAAGTTTCCCAAAAGCGTATTTTCTAAAATTTACTGAACATATGTGAAAAAAACCCAAGCTGTGATAAATCAATAAACAAAATCCTACTGAGTAAGGATTAGGATCAAAGTGTTAAAGTCCCTGATAGGTCATTAAATAGTAGAAATCTATACGTATGCATTCCGTATAACCGGAACTGCAAAAGCTATGGGTGAGAATAAGAAAAAGAGAAAAATTTAACACATTCATCGCAAATGCCAGACTTAGTTAATCTAAGCCAAGATCCAAGTATGGACCTCTACGAACTTAGGCGCTTTGCCAACATCTCAAATATAATATGTTTTATTTATATAATTATTTATCTGTAAAAAAATCAACTTTGAACAGTTAAATATAATTAAAATTTTATTTAATAATATGTACATAAACCATTTTAGCGAAGCAACTGTTGACAAATAAACATCGATAGATTAAATCATAGACAGCTTTATAAAAGTGTTGTCGCCAGCATCTATCTCGGAGTTTAAACGATACATACGCGATATAACTTATCGCGTATATAAGTTTTAAATCCTAAATATTTCTAGAACTCTATTTTAAGGCTTGCAGTACAATAGTAGTGCGTACGCGTAAAATGGACAGATGAAGAAGTTCTATTAACATTGAATCTATTCACACTAATGGTAGCTTGACACTCGATGCTGATTTCTGATGATGGAGAGGAGAGAAAACAACATTATAATGTAAATAGGCACACAACCAAACAAATAAAAACGCTTTAATAACTTTTTAATATATAACTTTTTAAAATTTATTCACAAGCGCCACAATACAATACATAACTATAATATTTAAAGTAATTCTGCGTGCTATAAACACTGCTATAATAGTGCTTTATTTGTAATATATTATTTATTTTATATATTTTAAATACATAAATTAATTTGAATTGTGGTTAAGTAATTTTAAATGAAATTTATAAAAAAAAAAATAATAAATGCAAAAAATCCTGTCCAAACAGTTATTTTTAATATAAACAAAATATTACAAATTATGAAATTAAATTATCTTGAGTATAAATACATATTTTAAGTATTACATATTTCGTTAAAATTAAATTTATGTTGTTTATAAATGTATAAATGAAATGTTAGTAACAGCGACCTATGTACTTTCTTGCTGATTATTAAAAATTAACATTTTAAATATATTTTAATTACAATACTTAAGTGGAGAAGGCGCCAAAAGTTCCAACGCCAGCATACAATAATTTAGCTTAAAGCCTCAGTTTACATTATTAACATCTAAAAATAGTATTTCTTGTTGATTTCATACATTGGTTATGCTTAAGTACATCCGACAAGGATGTAAACATACGCTTATAAAAAATAGCTGTAACGTTAAATTTTTTTTTGTTTTTTTTTTTGGAATTAAGAATTGTAGTATCCGCAAGCGGCACACTAATACAGACTTGTTTTCTTCATGATGCGCAAAAACTCATCCTGACTTACTTGGCCATCATGATCCAAATCGGCCTCATCAATCATTTCGCGCAGCTCTTCATCGGTTAAAGTTTCTCCCAGTTCGCGTGCAACTCGCTTGAGATTTTTAAAAGAAATTTTACCAGTGTCGTCATCATCAAACAACCGAAAAGCCTTCAAAATTTCCTCCTTCGTGTCCTTTTCCGCCATTTTCATTGTCATTAAGTGCACAAAATCACCATACGATATACGACCAGTGCCCTCTTTATCAATCTCAGCTATCATACGTTTAATTTCTTCTTTCTTTGGTTCAAAACCCAAAGCACGTATGGCCACTTTCAGTTCTTTGACTTCAATATATCCTGTACATTCGCTGTCAAACAAATCAAATGCTTCCTTAATATCAGCCTTCTGTGCGTCTGATAACTCAAACTTTGGCCCAGACTTTTTGCGTCCACCGACTGTCGAAACATGTCCAGCTGTAGTAGCGGCACAAGCACGTTTTCCAGCAACGCCATTGCCACGTCCCGCTACACCATTACCAGCAGCTTGTGCTGCGGCATTATTTGGCATCTTATCGGTGTCCATGTTCAAGAATACTGAAAACGAAATATTATTTAATCTACCGCTCAAGCATAAAGCAATATCTACACTAAATTTAAAAAAGTTTTCTGTCTCTACTTACGTCTGATCCTTGTATTTTTGATATTATTTTGTTTGTTAATTTATTTATTTGCAGTCAGCAAATAAGTTCCGCACCGTTGCGCAATTTATGGTTGCCCCTTGTAACCAATTGATTTCCAATTCTATTTTTGACTCACTGCTGTTGATGTCCTTAGCGATTTACCTTGTCTTGCCCTCCCTCACTTCTTTGTTATTGTCTATACTAAAGTGTTAATTGACAGTTAAATTCGTTTCTTTTACGTACACAGCACAATCTGTTGTTTCCTTTTTGAAAAAATTAAAATTTTAATCAAAATAAATATTTTCTTTTTTTGTTTTTATAAAATATAATTGGCACACTTGATTTGCTGTTGTGTAAATAATTCTGAAGACTCTTAAATACCTCAAATTTTGTACACAATTTCGTTTGTATCGAACAGGTGGTAAAATGCTGCTTTCACATAAACAATTTTCTTTTCGACATTTTCTGTACACTTTTGTGTTGTTTATTCAAAGTTTCCCTTCAGATTTTCCAAATTTCCACAATCTTCATGCGCGCTTCACGCAGCATTCAAACAGATGTCATTTCGATTACACAGAATTGTATATGTTATTTTCGCTTCTTTACGTGTGGTGAAATTATAACTTAACCCTAGTATGCAAATATGGTATTTATTTGTTGATGGTTCATTTGTTGGTATATGAATTTTAGTGTATGCATACAACAAATAATTTTTTTAAGTATATATACGGTGTATTTGTTTAAATAAATATAATACTGAATTTATACGAGAGTTTTTTTTTTTGTAATTTAAGCCGTTAAAAATTTCTACTTTGCTTTGAAAGCAACAACTGACAGCTACAATTACAAACAAAACTGTCGTATGCATCCAGTATAAATTTGTAATTACAATATCAAGAAAATAATAATGTCTAAATAGTAAAGCAAAATTATTAATATATAATAATATAATATACCAATCATTGAAATATTAATCATTAAAATATAAATGAGGTTTGTTTTAGTACCCTTTAGGGAGCACAAAATCAAGAAAATTAAAATTATATAAAGAAGTTTGTATATATAATATATATATAATATGAATATAAATGTACATATAAAATTAAATATAAACACAATATAATATAAACATAGTTTCTAAAAAAAATTGTAATTAGTTACATATCTTATTTTATTTTATATACTATGCATATCATTTTAAAAATTTTTTAGTAAATTTATTGTATGAAATCAAATTTTTATTTCTTTTATTTATTATTCTCGTTATGAAATTGTGACAATTAAGACATGCACCTTTCAATGTCTTTGCAAGACAAAATGAATACTCATAATAAGATCCATTCTTTTATTAAACTATAAACCATGCTATATTACATTTAAATAGTAGTAAATGAAAAATTGAAAATACTACAAAATGAATATAATTGTCTCAATAAGATAGAGTGGTCCAGAGGTGTTGATTAATAAATATATTTCTCAAATGTGCAATAATAATAATTTTCCAAATAATAAAAATATTTGTTGCCCATCATTTATTTAAATAAAAAAGTACTTCTCAAAGTATACGTAATAAAGTATAATAGCACTTTTTATAGTAAAGTATACAATTAAAATTGTATATAAACCCTTTACAAACTATTCATAATATTGATCTTAGCCATTTGGCTAAATGTTAATGTATGGAATCAATTTGGGGTTGTGTAAAAGACCCTTGTGTACGTGCTCGGATGAATTCTTCACAGCGCTATACACGTTGTACTTTAATTAACTTAATATGTACCAAACCACATCTATCGAACTATCGAAAAAATTTATTCATAAAAAAATAAATTTTGATTTTCAGTTAAATAAAATTCCTCCAAAATGGTTGAAAACAAATAACTGCAATAACGTGAAGACATATATATGGTAGAAAGAAATTGTAATCTATGGCTGTATAAATTCGTTTGCGTGGTATAGGGTTAAACTCTGTAACACATGACTTGCGCTCATTTTAGAACACTCTCAGAGTCGTGGTGAGTATAATAAAACAATAATAATAAAACAGGGTTGCATTTCTGTATGAGTTTAAGATTTATGTTCTGACCGCTTAATGTATTACATTTGAATATAAAATTTAGTTATATTCTAATTTTGTTATTATTTAGATGTTACTTAATAACATTATGATTATTTTTATAGTTAAAAATAAAAACCCGTTTTCTATGAAACTTAATTTGAATTAAATGTAATACGATATAATGTACATGTGTTGCAAATAATGATTTTTTTTCTAATACATGAGATTATTTAAAATACGAAAGCTTTATAATTGCATACTTATTGCAATATTATATGTTTTGTCATAAGAACACAATGTTCTACTTGAATTTTATATACGTCAAGCGCTGAAAATATTCAATAAAAATATTAAATAAAGCTTATTCAACATGCGCTATATATTTTCACATTTCGCATCGGTTTAAATGAAAATAAAATAAAAAAAAGGAAAAATAAAATTTAAATTTCAATGGAATCAATTCGTTATTCTTCTTGAATCAATTCGATACAAATTTTAAAAACAAATATCATATTTTTTAAACAATTTATGTTTATTTTGCAATATGTTAGAAAAAATATAAAATTTAGCGTTCCGTTTATTGCTATTCATTAAAATAGATAGTTTAAACACCTATTTTGGTTAATTGCAATACTTTAATTTTTTGTAATTTATCTATAGCTTAAGAGGCTTTAATTGGTTTTAATGATATTCTGTGTTACATGAGTATTTCGAATTATGTGGTAAATTTCTGCAAAGCATTAATAATTCTAATTAGGTCTGGAAATCATATTTTAATCCCATTTTTCTTCGTTTTGTATCTATTTATACTATGCATAATGTTTTTTCTCACATTAACTTTGGATCTTAATTGAAGAAGATTATATCTAACATCTATTACGTCTGTATTCAAAATTTGCAAACCCTATGACGTATTATATATGGACATTTATGTTTTTTTTGGTTGTTCATATGGATTTGATATTAAATTCTCTTGGATATTATTTGATATCATTCACTACAAGAGTTACTGCTCTGATAATGATTGGAATTATTGAATGAGACACCCCCAAGATGTCAATGATTGTTTACATCAAACGCAAACTTGTCATTATTTTACTTATACTTTTGTTTTCTTTCTTTTTTTACTGTTTATTATCCTTCGATTATGTAATATACTATTATGTATTATATTATATACCATGTGTTGTCCGTTCATAAAAAATCTTCAAAATTTCATTTTATAAAACAGTCTTTGGGTTATAACCATATGAATTTCATAGCTAGTATAGTGCCGTCGTAGATATTTCGTTCACGTCATATTTTTTAGTCCTGAGATACTTTGGTTCCCATAAAGCGTAGTTGCCTCTTAGGATGAATCTTAGTTAATTACGAATTTTAATTAAGTAACTACATTCCAAGGGCCCTTACTTATTTATAACTGAGTTAGAAAAAATTCAAAGCGACATGCTCTGTAAGTAAGTGGTTCATATGTCATACGATCCTACAGTTACAAGGAATAGGTGAAATTTGTAGTAGGAACTAATTTACAACGGTTGACTTTCTTAACGAATATTAAATCATCCATCAGAGTCTGTGACATGACGCACGCGGAAATTTTCCATTAAATTAGATCCTCTGTCAAAATTCAATTGGCAATTATTTTCGGTATCCTAGTTTTCCTTCCAATAAGCCGTGTAAAAACACAACAGGTACTTTCTTGATTATCTCGATGTTTTATACATTGTAAGTAGTTTTTGACGAGATTGTTTGATTATTATTCAAGTTTCTCGCGACGTCAAGATTTCCACCAAATCAACGGAAAACTTATGTGCGGAGCATGCATACATTGCCAATAGACTTTTCTTACCATTTCGAATGTTTTTACGCTACTTTGATCCAATTTAAAATAGAATTTTATATTGGCTCTTTGTTTCATTTTGTTTTTAGATCAATGCACATTATATAATATTGTAAAAAATGTCATATCTCATCGAAATATCAACCAAATTTAGAAAGTTTTGACAATAAGTACCTGTGGTATCTATCACTTAAAATATTTATGGAACATTGTTCGTTCAGAACATTAATTCATTCCTCTACAGACTTTTTGGTAATGGTGTTTAGGGATTTCGGGTTAGGTTAAGGCCCCTATGCACTGCGACCAGCTTGATCTATTGTACACCCCTTTGTATTTAGATATTTAGTATCTGAAGGAATCGAATCAGCTCCTTCGAAGCGAGTTTTCGAAGCTCTTTATCCTCTAGTTGGTATGCACCTAAAATTTTGTTTCTTCTGTGGCCTAGTGCATCACAGTTTGTTATCAGATGTTCCATAGACTCTTTCTCATCACAGCAGAATCTGCAAATATTAGTGTCGGATATATCTATTTTGTGTAGGTGTTTGTTACATGCGGCGTGGGCTGTTAGTGCACTAGTGACTTTAGACTCTTCTTGTTTAGGTTGAGAGTGGTGTTTGCTCTTTTGGGATCAAAATTTAGGAATTTTTGGAATGATATAAGCCGTCTATTCCATTCCAGTATTCATTGATACTTTGTTGAATCCATTTTTTGGTCTCCTGTTTTATGTTCGTTTTATTAAAGACAAAGAAGGGAGTTAGACCAATGAATAGTTCTTCTGTCCCTTTTTTGGCATAAAGGTCCGCCTTTTCATTGCCTTCCTGTCCTACATGTTCGGGTACCCAAATCAGAGAGACCTGGTTGTGGGTGGCCAGTTGGTTGAGTGCTACACTCTACACTCTATAAGAACTTTTGATGTAAATGTGTAGCTTTTTAGAGCTTTGAGAACTGATTGGCTGTCTGAGAGTATATTAATTTTAACTCTCTTAAAGTCATCTTTTGGATAAGATCTCCACAGTCTCTATTATAGCATAGAGTTCCGCATGGATACAGACTTTTTGCAGAAGAGAGAGAGATAAAGAGCACATAATTGAAAAATGTTAAGGTAGTTGTACTGAAGGTAGCTCTGAAATTCTTATAGGTAATCAGATATAATATATCGTATTACCTTAAAGGTAATTAAATAAGTATAGTAATAATTTTAGCAATTTTTCTTTTAATATTTTTTGTGTTTCAGATCGTCGTTTACCTGTGAGGTCAGCATATTAGTTCAGCTTCTTAATCATATTATTATTTTGTGAAGTATTCTTTCAATATCAAATGAGTTAATGGTGAGTATATAAGTGCACTTCTGAAAAATATATTGTAAGCTCTTATTAACTTTGCTTAGTGTACTGTGATAAATTGCGTTGAGTTTTTGAATATAAGCTCAGTTAATCAATTAAAAGCAAAAATAATGTAAAAGGATTGTCCCCAAACAATTATTTCCAAGAACTAATACAATTCAGAGCGATTAGGCACTATAAGTCACTCTTTGTATTTTGAAATAATGCGGTGATGGAAACAGAAAAGAATGATCTTTGATGAGATGATAGTCTAATCAATTCTCATCCTTATTGTATATTTTACATCGGTATTTATACAAGTTGATTAATTTGATTTTCTGTAGAAAGAGAACTAAAACAATAAATT